TTAAACATAATAGAAAATTTTTTTGAAAGTTATGGAAATTTTTTAAGAAAAGGTTAATGACAAAGTTGAATTAATTACCTGTATGTTTGAATATTTGTTAGCACTTTTTCACTAAACAAGCTTTTTTAACGAAAATTTTCTTTTCCTAAACATATTGTTTGCTAAAATCTCATCAAGATCATGTTTCTTGACAGATGTCCTGAAGATGGAACGTACCTAGTTCCGAAACGTCGACAATAAACAAATAATTAAATAAAGAAATTGTTTTTTTAAAAACTTTTCTTGTTTTTTATTTTGTATTATTTTTGGATTCTTGTTCGAAACTCTACAAAATATACACAAATCCAAGACTCTACCATTCAATATATATATATATATATATATATATATATATATATATACATTCATGTGTTATTAAGCAAATTTTCACATTTAAATTAATTTTTGTTCCAAATTAGGTTTTAGAAGAAGAAGCAACTTGTAAGGAACCCATTCCAGATGCCCAGCTTCCCAGTATCATCGAGTTTATTCAAGAATTTCCAGTTTATTTGCAGGTTGTTGATTGATGTCAAAGCTATTCTGAGTATAAACTACATTTATTTTCAATAAATAAAGTTTCTCAATCCGAGTTTAGTCCACTGTGTGATAACTGTAAATTGTTTTCTCAGACGGTTGTTCAATGTGCACGAAAAACGGAAATAGCGCTTTGGCCTTGCTTATTTAGTGTAGCCGGGAAGCCCAAAGAATTATTTAAGCAATGTTTGGCTAAACAACAGCTTGATACTGCTGCTTCTTATCTTATTATTTTACAGGTATATTACGTGCATATTTCTATTTTAGTTCTGTGAACTTGCACTCAATGCTAATAATTTGTAGAATCTTGAACCATCATCAGTTAGTCGTCAGTTTGCTACCCTTTTGTTGGACACAGCTTTAGAAAAATCTAAATGGGAGTTGTCAAGGGATCTAGTACGGTTTTTAAGGGCCATAGGTAATATTAAACTCTTTGTATTTTATTTTAATGCTTTAATGCTTATTGCTGGTTTGGCAATGTGTATACGTATAACATTTTATTCCCTTTTGCAGGAAATAAATTTGTTATAAGAATTTAAACCATTAATTATTTGGAGTTAATAATAAATATTAAGTTTAAATCTAATTCAGTTACTATTTATAAACAATTAAATTAATTTTCATATTTCAGATCCTAATGACATAGAATCACCCAGGACATCATTTATTATTCCCAATAAATTAGGACTGGGTCAACAGTCTCCTCCAGTAATACCAAATGCTGAAGAATTATCACTTATTCTTGGATCTATGCAGGTATGAAATTTAAGAAATACATGGGACGTGTATGCATTTATGTCTATACTCTAACACGCCTAACATTTATGTTCAGATCATGAACTTTATTCTGTTCCTGTATTATCTGCTATTTTTTCCTATTGGTCTTAGGTTGCTCGAGGCCGTAGTTTCAGTACAACTTTATCTCCAAAAGCCCAAATTGAAGGAATTAATGCTAACTTTCCTACAACGCAGAAACAAATGATATCGCCTGGAGCAGTGTCTTTAAAGAAACAAAATGTTTCAACGAAAACAACTATTCCAGTTTCCAGTAGTTCTATTATTACTGAAAATACTCAAAGGAAGAAATCCACTAGCAGTATGAAGAATGAAAACAAGTAACAAGAACAATATTTAAAAATGTATACGTATATTATGAGAGTTAATGAAATCACTTAATTTTAGGGATAGTGCATCTTCTGCTGAACATTTCTTTATAGATCTGATTCTTCAAAGACATGCTCGAAGACTTCTAAGTTGTAGAGAACTCACTCAACTTGGGCAACTATCAGCTTTTTTGGATCTTCCTCTAGTTCGATGGCTAAATAAAGAGCGCGATCGAGCAGCTCGCGTTGATTGTTTCATCACAGCTCTTAAAAGTTTACATGATGAATTTGACTGGCCCAAACCAGAGCATGATATAAGCAAAAATACTGGTATATTAATAAAAATAGTAAATAAATAAGCTTTTTCTCAATTTCTATTCATATTCTAACACAGGAGAATAAAAAAATCAGTTTGTAATGCATAGTAAATAATATTAATTTGTTAGAAATTGATCCTTAATAAATTGAAAATGAGCTAATAAGTTGAAATTAGATTTAATAATCAACATTTTCTATTCATTTAATTTCAGCAGTATCAAAAAATGTTTTACAAACTCAATCCAATGTACCTGGTTATAAAATGGAGACTAAGATATTCAATCCGGAATGCTCATCAAACTCTGTAGTTAATAGACCCACTTCCTTATCAATGATTCAGAATCATGGCAAAATTGAAGGTGATAGTGGATACATGAGCTACTCCGGAGGTTTTCATACCACTGGTATGCAGTTTTAAATATTTCTACTCTCAATTTTCAACATTGATGATAAATCTAATATTGTTTTTGAACCATGTAATTATAACAGCAATATATAATTGGAATTACAACATTTTACTTTTTGCAGGTGTTTCTACGCCTGTAAATAGTCAAGAAACAATTAGTGCCATGGTGGTTTCACCACAACATATAGCAAATAATTACAACGACGCTAGCAATTCTTATTCTAATCAAAAAATAAATAATATTGAAGCTAAACTTGTTTCACAGGACTTTTCAAGTATATGTAGTGAACAGGTAATCATGAATCAGTTAACGTAATGTGTGTGTGTATGTGAGTGATTATGTATATGTATTGGGCAAAAGGCAAAATGCTACTCACGACTAGTTATTTCATCTCTAACTTGTATTTAGATGTCTCATATGACTGAGGATATATCATTGCAATCACCTGATGTGGAGATGTGCTATAATACAGTATTAGAATCAATATCTAATCAAACACATAAAAAAGGAAGTCCAAAAGCAGAGGTCCAACTTAGGTAAAATTATTTTGTTGTTAGGTAGATTGTTTCAAAATAATATAAATAATTGTTTGAATATTGTTTTTCTTTTCTGAAGGTATTTGTTGCAAATGTTTATGGAAGCAGGTTGCTTGGAATGGGCTTTAATTATAGCAGTGATTTTGCAAGACGCAATGGCAGTTTTAAGAACTTCCAGTGCTGCAAAATCTAATGAACAAAGTATTGAAAATGTTTGTAGACTTCGAGATGGACTCAATAGGTAATGTTTTTTTTGTGCATTAATTGTATGAGTATTTATATTTAATATGATTTATTATTTGTAGCATTTGTCAATGGGCGCAATCTGAATGTCTTGGTTATGTTCCCTTCATATTAGCAATACAAAACCAAATTTCTGTGTTGAATCGGTTGTTGTCTGTTAAAACTCAACAGAAATCTGTTAATGTTGATAAAGCAATTTCTTGTATAAGCAAAGATCTAATAGCAATAAATGAACAGAACACAAGTAGCACAGGAGGTAATATAAATTAATTAATTCATTTACTTTTTCTTGAGGTACTAGGATTTTAATAATGTGCAATAATTGTAATATTATATTTTAGAAAATGTGAGGAAAGTTTTAAATACATCTCCAAAATCTCAATCTTGCATTAGCCATACAGATGTCACAAATTCCATACATGGTAGTCAAGGAACAGTAAAAAATTCAAATAAAAGTATACATACTCAAAATAGTTTTAATAATTCCCATTTATGCGAGAATGGTAATATGGTTGCATGTGATAGTAATACATCCAATTTAAATGAAGTTGATGTTGCAAATCATGAAAGCAATGAAAATTCAGGTTGTGTTATTAGTTAAGTAATAAAATATTTAATATAATTAAACTTAATAGACAGAGCATTTTATTGATATTAAATTTAATATATACGATTTTATAATTTGACGATCTCATTTCACATGCAATACGTAAGAAGTAAATTATATATAAGAGCATTATATATATAGTGTACTTTCACTAATTCAGCACTTCGCCATTTTTTAAATTTTATAAAAAATTTGGTATCTGACTATTAGTCATATCAAATGAGATGAGAAGTTCAGCTATTTCCCAGCAATATAAAACAAAATATAAGAATTGGGTCTTCTTTCTGACAAAATTTGAAATGCAGATGAGAGCGGTCTGCTCTAGAGACAACTGCCCAATAAAATGCATTATTTATTTGTTGCACCCTTAGGACTTCTTTACTACAATCCAGTAATCCAAACATTCCAATAATCACCTTTTGGTTTATAATAGTGCTGGATTTAGTGAGATTACACTGTATTACGAACAAATAAATTTCAATATTTATACATATATAAACATGTAAATAATATATTTGTACAAATTATCAATAATATATAATGTCAATTAACTATTCTTAAAAGTTTCATGTTTTATTATTTTATACAAGTTTTGCACAATATTATAAATTTATGTATCAGGAGCGTAGCACTGCCATATCTGCCATATGAATTATACGTATATTGCAAATATAAGGCTTAATCAAAATTTAATTAAAAGATTCAAATTTTTCATATATGTACATAGGCAGATTTAAAAATACCAATGCTTCTTTTTAATCAACTGATGTAATAAATTGGTACGCCGAAAAAAAGGCAAAAAAGTCTATATTTAATTTGAATTAATTGTAAAAAAATTGGATGAAGTGATAATAATTATGGTGAATAATTATTTATTTTAATCTTCTGTAGTTTTTTTTTTCTAATTTGTTTGAAAACTTTAGCCTGCCAGGTTGGACCTCAGCTTATGTTTTTAAGAAGATTAAAAAATGAAGTAAAAACTAATAATAAATTCTGAATATTTCAATTCTTTTATTAAAGGATTTTGTTTAATGAATATATATTTAATTTAATATATTTTAATGAATAGTATTTCAATTCTTTTATAAAGGATTTTTTTTTAATAAAAAAACCTGAATAAATTTTGAAAAAACGATTGAGAACCTTTGGTTTTTCAGTTGAAAGTCAACTGTCATTTTATATTAAACTGTCATTTGGATATTTGTGTTAGAAACTGTTAGCCACTGTTAGTCTTCAATTTTCTTAATTTTATCATGGATAACTTTAATACACCTGTAAAACAAAAAGTAAATAATGTATTGAATGTACCTGCATCACCCCTTTTGCAGCATTTAGGTTACGGGACAGGTAAAACGAATGTACCAATTTTAATATTGTATCTTTAATTTTAATATTATAAATTACATTTTACTTAGGAGTTCAAGTTTATCGCTTTAATCGTTCCCCACAAGCTGGTAAAATAAATTCGCCTTGGGCACTAAAATACTTAACTAAAAGGAAACTTAAACAATCTGATTGTTTAAGCATTGAGCATCGACTCAATGAAGAAGCTAACATTTTGAAGAAATTAGATCACCCAAACATTGTTGGTGGGTTTTTTTTAAATATATTCATATATTAAAACATATATTAAAAAAATGTTGTTCATTACGTTAAAAATTTGTTGCATAAACCTTGATATTAAAGTTTTATTCATATGATAATAAAAGGATTTCGAGCCTATACAAGTCTACCAGATGGGAGAAAGGTTTTGGCCATGGAAGATTGTACAGTATCACTAGGTGATCTGATAGAAACTCGTCTTGAAAATGAGGGTACTCCTTTTGAGGCAGTAAAGATACTCAAAGTATAAAAAACTTATATATAATTTATCTATGTGTAGCCATGCTGATAATAAAAACAATATTCTTGCAGATGATTGTTGATATGGCTAGTGCTTTAGACTACTTACATACTAAAGCACATTTATTACATGGTGATGTTAAATCTCATAACATTTTGATCAAAGGGGATTTTGATATATGTAAATTATGTGATTTCGGAGTCAGTTTACAACTTGATCAAAATGGCAGTGTTTTACCCAATAACTTTTACAAAGGTTTATTATATATTGAGATAATATTCCATCATTAATATTTTGTAGTGCAATACTATGTCTTTTTAATAGGTACAGAGCTATGGTCAGCACCTGAAACTATGGATGAAGGTAAAATAACAAATAAAGCTGACCTATTTTCCTTAGGCCTTACTAATGGGAAATGTTATCTCTAACACCTCCACATGTACCTGTTTGTGATGAATCAAATTTAAGTTCCGTGAATGAAAGCATCGATGAAATAGAGACATTAGGTGATTATCTTAAAATGAGCTTGATTACTCTTGTCAAAATATTTTTTTTTATTTTTATTTATTATTAATTATTAAATGGTTAAACTATTTTTAAGGAACTAGGCCCGATCTGCCAAATATAGAATTCTCTGAAGACTATAATCCAGTACTCGAATGTTTTTATATATTAACTGAAGAAAATCCCATCAACCGACCATCTGCTTCCTTGCTTATTGAGTTGTTAAAACAATTTAAACTTTAAATTTAATTGAAATTGATAAATAGATTAGTGTAAATCAAATATTTGACAGGCATTGCTATCTTCATGTATATTATTATGATGTAAAAATAAGGTTATAATGGTTTAAAACATTTAACACACTCTTCTTTTATCTATGATTTAACATGTGTTTTCAAAATTGTACTTACTTTTAATATATTTTTTATATATAACGTAAGCTATTTTTATTATGACATGGAATCATTATTTTTAAAAACTTATGTAACAGCAGTGAAATTTTATAAAGACAATTATGTCTTAGCAGGTATTATATTTTTTTAACCTACAATAACTTTTATTATATTTTATTAAATGAAAAAAAATTGCAGGAGTTGGTGGAAATTTGAATATCTATAAGTTAAATGATGATACAGAAAAAAGCCTAACACATGTGGAAATATTTCAAGGGCAATCTATACATGGAATTGTTATTAGTGAAAAGAGTGAACTTATTGTATACGGGGGCAAATTGATTTGCTTGATTCACTTAAGTATCTCAAATGACATTTTAGTGGCTACTGTTATAAATACATATTCTTTAAAAGATTGGATTTTGAAAATAAAGTTTATTGATTATTATCTTTTGGCAATAACTGCACATAATAACGCTAGCCTGATAAATGCTACAACAGGAGATGAAGTAAAGTATTATACGTCTGAAGAAAAATGCATATTATATTCTGCTGAAATAGTTTGTGATCAAAATGCAGAATTAACTAATAATTTGATTTTTGGAGGAACTGTTTTTAGTGAAATAATTATTTGGAAAACGGAATATACAAACAAATGCAATCAAATATTACATCGATTACAAGGACACAAGGTACAGTTTATAAATACATAAATGTATTTAGTAGTTTTGTAAAATCATAAATATATGTCATGGTTCAATGATCATGTGATGTGAAATATTAAAAGTAGTTTGTATTTGTGTTTATTTTTAGGGAGTGATCTTTTCTATAGCTTATAGCAAGGAATTGAAAAAAGTTACCTCAACCTCTGATGATCGGTCTTTAAGAATCTGGAACATTAAAGAAAATAATAATACATTAAATAATGGAACATATTGGGAAAATGTAACAATTTCGTTACACAAAACAGCATTTGGACATATGGACAGAGTTCGTGCCAGTATTATTATTAAGGACCTTAATTTAATCATTTCTATTGGAGAAGATTCTATGATTTGTACATGGGATTTAAATGGAAATCTTTTAAATAAAAAGAATTCCCATCAATGTGGACCTATATGGAGTTTAGATGTAAATGTGGAAAAACAATTGATTGCAACAGGGGGTAGCGATGGAGGCCTATTATTACATTGTTTAGTGCCAAAAGTACCTAACTTACAGCCGCTACCTTTAAATTGTAACGATGCAACTTTTCTTAAAAATAATTTTACACCAAAGAAAATTATATATACTTTTAAATCCACACTTTTATGTATTTCAAATGAAGGGCATTTATTAAAATTTGTGCCGAAATCAAATTGTTGGAATTTAGGGGACCACATGAGTGAAATGTTTTCATATTCTTTAATAGGTAGTAAATTTAATACTATAGCAATTTGTGGTTTAAATGGAAATATAAGAATTTATGAAGAAACAAATTCAGAAATAAAGTTGTTAGTTAAGAAAACATTGTTTGAAGAAAGAATTGTTTTTGTTTCTATAGCAAACAATGGCAACATCATACTATGTGCAGAAATAGGCATCATATCAACCTATATTTTATTAAATAATGATTTAAAAAAAATGAGTGAATTTAAAATTCCTTTAACTAATGAGCCTTGGTTTACTGCTGCAAATATCATTGAGAATTATTTGGTTATAGGTGATCGCAAAGGAAATATTCATTTATATGATGAAGATTATTTACCTATACATACAGTTCTTAAAGTGCACTGCCATTTAGGTGTAACAGATATAAATATTTATAATAGTACTATAATATCTACAGGGCGAGATGGAAAATGTGCAAAATTTAAAATTCATACAAAAAAATTAGTAAAATTGTCATGCACAAGGATTGACCTGAAATGGATTGGTAGATATTTTATTGTAAATAATCAAGAAATGTTATGTGGGTTTTTATCAAACAAATTTATGATTTGTACATTAAACGAAATCATTTGGCAAGTTGACTGTGGAGGCGGGCACAGATCATGGGATATGAACATAAGTGATAATAATGTAAATTTGGCTTTCATCAAAAATGGTGTTATATATAAAACACAAGTTATTCTATCTGATATACTAATAAAACCATTAGAAGAAAGTTTTGTAAGTAAGGAAATAAATGCGTTATGTTCTTTATTTTCTAATAGTTCATTTAGTATTTTTATTATTGGTGGTGAAGATACAATCCTGACAATAAGTATATTTAATAGAAATTTAAATAAAATTGGGAAAGTTCTAACAATACAAACGCATTTATCCAGTATCAAGGACATTAAAGTTATAAAATTCCACGAGGAACTCCAAATATTATCTTTCTATGTTATATCTTGTGGAGGCAGAGCTCAAATTTGTATTTCGAAAGTTGATATTGATATCTCTAATGCTAGTGATCCTGTTGTACATTCTGAACTTTTAGGGGAGCACATGTTAAATAATTTTGATTCCGTTAAAAAACAAACTAATTATGAACATTTTCAAGATATGAGGTATATGAATCTATCTGTGATATTTAGTGATAAGAGTAATGAATTAACAAAGGATGGATTGAACATATTATTAGCAGCAGGTTGTTCTGATGGATTTTTAAGAATATTTAATGTTAAACAAAATAACTCAAAACTTGATATAAATCTGATAACTTCAAAAATGACTGGTAAATGTATTCTTAGTGTCCATACTATTAAAAAAACTGATCCAGACTGCATCATTATTTTAACAACAGATACTGAAGGAAAAATTAAGATATGGAGCTTATTTAATAAAGGCAATGATGTTTCTTCTCAATGCTTAAGTGACACATATAATTTACAATCTATTACAAATTGGAAATCACATGAAAATGGAATAAATAGTTGTGATATTAAAAAATTGGGAGCTGATACTTATATTATGGCAACAGGTGGTGATGATAATGCATTAATATTAAGATTGTTCACAATATATGAAGAAATAAATTCATTCAAAGCTGAAAATATAAGTACTTGGGAGATAAAAACAGCACATTGTGCTCAAATATCAGGCGTTATAATTTTTAATGAATTCGTCATTACAACATCAATTGATCAAAGAATATCTTTATTTGAGTGGACTGCTAATACGAAGGAAGGAATTCAGTGCAATTATTTGTATCAAAGGCTTACTACAGTAGCAGATATAAAGGGAATATGTATCATTAATAAATCAATGTAAGTTGCATTTGTTAAAATATCTTTATCAAAGTTTATAAATTTGTTTTTTATTCCAGAAATTCTCTATTAATTTGCATTTATGGAAGAGGTGTCAACATATTGGAACTAAAAACAACTAAAGAAAATAAATAAAATTATACAAAAGCCTAAAGTTAGTAAATTTTCTATATAGCTTATAATTTTATATATATATATAGCTTTTAATATTTTAAATAAATTTCAAATAGATAATAAAACGATTGTTACTTACAATTGATTGTATTCTGGAATACATCATTAAATGTGGTGTGGTCAGAATTTGGGTACATTAAAAATTACTATCACTTCCTTAATTATTATAAATTTCTTAACTTCCTTAAGTATAAAAATTACTATCACTTATTATTATATTGTCTTGAATCACTTCTCTAATTGTAAGTTGATGAATATAAACTGAAACAAACATATATTCAAAATTAAATTTGTGATAAATATAGCAAGAAGCCAACTTATGAAAATTGAAGTATGATTTTCGATTTTGTATGTTGGTGACATGATCGGAAATTCGCAGTAGCCGAATGGCATTCGAGGTCGATCGCGCCGATTGTTTTTTCGGTTTCATTCCGCCATTTTGTGCCGACTGTTTATGGCGTTGCTGAAGTGAAATAGTGATCATAAGAAATAGTTATTCCTTGTGTTAAGGGTAAGTGTTTATAGTTAATTCAATTATTTATGTCGCGGATAATAGTAATTATTTTCCGATATTATTTAGGATATCATAATGTCGCGTTACGGCTCAGAGTGTAAGCTGTACGTCGGCGACCTGGGAAATAATGCAAGTAAACAAGAATTGGAAGATGCTTTCGGATATTACGGACCCCTTCGCAATGTTTGGGTGGCACGAAATCCTCCAGGCTTTGCTTTCGTAGAGTTCGAAGATCCTAGAGATGCTGAGGATGCTGTACGCGGCTTAGACGGAAGAACGATATGTGGTAGAAGAGCCCGCGTCGAAATGTCCAATGGCAAAGGAAATCGAGGATATGGAAGAGGACCTCCACCTAGAAGCGGCTCAACAAGAGGACGACCATTCCATCCAGATGACAGATGCTATGAATGTGGCGATCGTGGACATTATGCCCGTGATTGTAACAGGCATGGCAGACGAGGAGGAGGAGGACGCCGAAGGTATGTTGTCTTGAAATTTTAGGCGCTGCGAACTCTTGTCTACATAGCCGTTTGAGTGATTCTACTACACACCGAGCCAACTCCATCAACCAGCATTCGAAGATACCTAGCGCGTTCAACCTATACATATTACTGTTTTATATTAAAAGTGTTTGACATTTAATCTAGCGATCATTCTTAAACTAAAAATTTTGATGATTACAGTTTTTTATCAATATTTTCTAATTTAAATCTGCCAGATAAATTTTTTTAATCATCATAAAAAACATTCAGAATAATTTTACATATTTATAGGTTTTTATCCATCGCTATGATTCTGGTATCGATTCTACTAGTCCTACTAGCTTCTTCGCTCATATCTGAAAGTGCTCCATTTTTCCTCAAAATTTTTGCTACAAGAGTTGGTCTCGGTTGGCAATCTACCACTGCAATCACTTGTTTCTCCATCTCCACGGTTGTTCCAATCGCCACTGGCATGTCTGCAATACGTCGAGCTAACACACATAGAAACGAATTTGTACCTTAAATTGTCTACCTACAAACTACATGCTAGATGCCTGAAAAGCTTGGTAATGATGCCTGAGTTTCATCAGTTACATCAATGTTTCTTCACTCGAGACTGAGAAACTATATCTGCTATGATACACCTCCTTGCGTTGCACGACACTTGTCTTCTGCGTCTGATAAAGTCTCAGTTAAGAATTCACACTTCACAGGTGTTATTGAATAGTGAGTTATCATATTAGATAAAATACACTTTAAAGTGTTAAAAGGCGGCATTCAACAATATTTTCATTATAGAAGCAAATGAAGCACCTGATTAATAGAGTAAAGGTTGTGATTAATCTTGATTATTTAAGGAAAACTTACAACATTTTTAATAAACACATAGTAATAAATGCAGATTGCTATATAAATTTATCTAAAAATGCCACTATAGTATAATTTTACAGAAAAGTCCTGAGACCAATATTTATTTATTATAAGCATATAGTTACTGCCCTTTATTTATTAATAAAATAAAATTTGTTACTTTTTTTTGCTTGCAAGTTTTCCATTGTTTGTAACAATTGGAATTTTAAATTTAATGTTATAAATATTGCTTCTTTAATCTTCTTTATAATTCATGTTATGGACTCTCCAGGTCTAGGTCTCGTTCCCGATCAAGAAGCCGCTCACGGGATCGCCGTTCTCGTTCTAGGAGTATGTCAAGATCCAGAAGCAGGTCTCGTGGAAGAAGCCGTTCGCGAAGCAAGTCTGCCCGTCGCAGTCGATCTCCAAGACACAGCAAAAGCCCAAGGCGTTCTCACAGCCGAGACCGCAAATCTAATAACAGGTCTGTTTCTAGATCTCGTTCACGGTCTAGGGATAGGGATGGTGAAAATATGAATGGAGATAATCATGATTAGATTATGTGTGCATCAGTGATTTATATATGTTATCAATATGACATCATTAGTGGTTAGTTCATTAATGTATATTTTAACTTTACTTTGGGAGCATATATATTATATGTTTCGTGGTATGAATTTAAAATTAGTTCATCTGTCTTAATTATTATTGAAATAAAAATTATGTGCTATTTAAATGTATGGGGTGGTTTAATTGTATTTATGATTGATACATTTCATATTTTAATTATAACTTCTAATCACAATACAATATTTTTTAATTTAAAAAAATCATACTTTGTACTGGGGATTTTTCAGCAGTAAACACTTAAAATTATGGCTAACAAGAGAATATTAATTTGCATAGCTAAATCTTATAACTAGTGAATTACACCCCTGTCTGACTGAGATATGTAAAATGAAGATAAAGAACTGATTAAATTTTTGGGAAGGCAGGTCCAGCGGTTATGAACTCTCCAAATTAAATTAAAAAAGTGTCATTTGGCGGTCAAAAATGTTTATTGGACAAATGTAAATCAATTTATCAGATATTTCATAGAGATTTTAATAATGTGTACACTTTTTGTGTAAATTTTTTTGGGTTCCGTATAAGATTTTTAATTACGGTACGGGAAGTTCCAGCAATTTGCCTTGAGGAACAATGCCATGCAACCCACTAGTTTATTTTACGGTCTACAAAATAATGTGGTTATCCTTTCTTTAAAATTGTTTCAAAGTTTTGTGTTGTTTTATTACAAAACAATGTTCTAATTTTGTTTATACTGGTATGAACTTGCTGAATGGCACACATATAGTATTGAAAAGTTTAAAGTAGAGAAATACAAAAAATCTCAATATATCAAAAAATTTGTATGCATATTTGTGCGATTTGTGTTTTGGAAAATAACCAATGAAATATAAAAAACATTAATTTTTAGTACTAACATTTCATCTTTCCCGGAATTACTCTTTTTAACTTCCCATAGGGTAAGTTATTGTAATGGGCCGAAAATCGGAATTGAAAATTCTCGACGTTTTGAAGGTTTCTGAACATTTTGGCATACCTCAGAAAAAATGGATGTGTGTGTGTGTGTGTGTATGTATGTATGTATGGATACAAATTTCCAGTCACGTTTTAGGGCGCACGGATCAACCGATTTGAATGGTTTAAAAAACATTCGATTCCTATTGATAGGGAAAAGAGCTGATTAGTTTTTGGCAAAGGCAGGTCCAGCCGTTTCGGAGATACAGAGCAAAGAGTGCAGAAAATAGAAATTGAATTTTTGAGAGAACGGAGTATCCGATTTGAATGATCTAAAAAACATTCAATTAGTAATGATTGGGAGAAGTGTTTATTAGTTTTTGGCAAAGGCAGGCCCAGCCATTTTGAAGATACGGAGCTAAATATGTAAGAAATGGCAGTTTTTGAGAGAACTAAGCGTCCGATTTAAATGATTCAAAGAACTTTCTGCTTGTCTTTACAAAATAATTAATTTTGGAAAAAAAAATTTTGTTCCATTTTTTTTTTTTTTAGTTTTTTGTATATCGAAAATATTTCAGATTTTATTTTTACTTCTGACTATAGTTCTAATATACTTTACAAATAATTTCAACTCTGCAATTCAGTTTATATAATTCTTATAAATATTAGACAATGTTACAATATTTATAATAATCTATTTAAAAACATTCAGTATTAAGTTCCAGCAATTTGCCTTAAGGCACGATGCCATAATTGCCTCAAGACAGAATTCCACTTACAGCTAGTTAGAGTTTTTTTTGTCTTCCTCTAATTTCTCGTTTTTTTGTCTTCCTCTAATTTCTCGTATATTCTTATACACAATATTCTTGTTGATTTAATAACGACATGAATAATTCTAGACTTTAATAAGTTTCGTAAACAATGATAAATCAACAGTTTTTGTTGAGCCGGCAAAGAAGGATACTAGATACCTCTGTTTTGACAGTTTGACATAATTTTGCAAAGGTCGTTTCATCATACTGCGTATTTATTTTTAGAGATTATCAATCAGAAATTACAATTTGATGATGTATATCTAATCTAGAAATTTACAATTATGATATCATTTCCTTTATCTAAACCGATGAAAAAAAAATCGCAAAGTGCATTTCAAGAACATTTTGTTTAGTTAGTTTAATTTGTTCAGTTAAAGTATTTGAAGTGGGTTAAACAATCACAGATTGTTTTATCTATGAAAAATGGAATCGACAAATTTTGCTGAAACAAGTCACAAAGCATCAGGACCTCAATCAAATAAATCTTTTAATGAAAATGATGATGAATCTTTTGTGATACTTGGCTCATCTCCTTCAGAATCTATGAATCATGTCTCTGCTCAAAATTCCTTATGTAGATCTGTTAATGATACTTTAATCGCTAGCCACAGATCTATTTTGGAAAAAATTGGACAACAAAATCAATCGTTGTTGTATTCGAACATTTCTTATCCCTCACCTGCTTCAGTTTCACAGGTAATGCAAAAACATGATTTTACTAATTTATTTAGATACTTAATTTAATTTTTTATATTGTTATTGCAGTCTTTAATAGATTCTATTAATATCAAAAATATGACACAAGATGAAATACAAAGGCAATTTAATGTATTAATACAAGAAAACTGCCAGATGAAAGGTATGTTTTGTAACTTGAATTATATTATTTTAACAGCATGGTATTAAAAATATTTTTTTATTTCAAGAAAATTTAATGCAAAATAATAATGATTTGAGAAGGGAATTCAATAAAATTATGAAATACCAAGAAGAAGTTCGTAAAATACATGATGGTCACAGAGAAAAATTTGAAGAAACAAGAAAATTAGTGATTAAAGTAAATTTTATTAAAAAATGTTTCAATAATGCACTAGGAAATGCTTTTCATGTTATCTATATTTGTAGCTCAAAACAGAAAATGCAATGCTTAAAGAAAATTTGAAAACAAATGCAGTTAATGATGAATTGATAAATGAGAAAAGTGAAATGCAAAAAAGAATAGACGACCTAACTTCTACATTAAATGTAAGAAAATATCAAACAAATATTTAAAATGAGAAAAATTACTTTATTCTGAAATTGTTTAGTTGCTTTTAAAAATATTAAAATATAAAATGCAGATAATAAAATTATTAGTTATATTATACATCTTTGTTCTAGAATTTGCAAACACAAAATACAAGCCTGATGGGGCAATTATCAGAGTCTACATTGCTTACCAGTGAATTAGAAAAACAAATTGAAAAATTGAACTTGAAAAATGTACAATCAGAGGAAACAATTAATTTAATTACAAATGAAAAACAAAACTTGGAACGGGAACTGGAACGAAGTTCTTTAGAAATGAACATCTCAAATGAAAGAAATGCAGAGATGAAAGCTACAATTGACAATCTGAAGGTAACTCTTTTTAACTATAATAATTTTAATAACTAAAATGTTTGTATTAAATCAATTTTCAAACAGGCTCAAGTTACTAATTTGATGGCAAATCAACACAAATCGGACACAGTTATAATTGACTTAAATTCAGAAATAAAGTTGTATAAAGAACAGTTGCAAAAGGCACATATGAAACTTACTGCTGATAAGGTTACTTATTTTCAATTGTATATTTTATATATTCATTCATTGTATATTATTTTAATTCAAGATACATACTTTTTATATTTAGTTACGGCGTCACATAAATACAGAACCCATTGATATTAATTCTAATTATTAAATGTTTGTGATAATTGACCATTAAGATCACTTTTAACAATATTAGTAATTTTTCTAGTCTATTGCTTTTAGATATATTCAATAATAATTTTTATTTACTTATCAAACTTTTAAATAGTCGGATTATGAATTGGTATCAAATTCTGATGTTGGACTTTCTAATTCGAACATTTCCATATTTAATGCACCATCTGCTTCAGTAGAAACAATTTCCAGATTAAGGGAAGAAATTCAAAATCTACAAATGCAATTGAAAGAATGTTCTCTTAATCAAGTAAAATTAGTAAGTATTATTAAACTTAATAATTTTATTGCAAATTTCATTTTATAACATAAATTAATGTTCTTAGACCATGGACCCATTGTCATTGTCAATGAATCACAACTTTTCATATAGCGAGAGTGGTTCTTATGATCTTGAGAAAAAAGTTCAATTTTATGAAAAACATTTGCAAGATATAATAAATTGGTATAATGCACATTGCAAAAGGTAAAAAAGTATTTCCCCTATGTATTCTTGCAGTACATATGTTACATATTCAATAAGTTATGCTATTTATTTATTTTTCAGAATGAATATGCTACAGTACATACTGAAAGATGTTCAGCCTGAAAATATTACATCTGTACAACAAGTTGAGACGAAACTGAAGGAATTACAACAGTTTTCCAACGAATTATGTGAAAGTCTTTCAAAAGAATGGTCAGTTTATATATAAGTTTGTTGTTTGTAATAACATTTCCTTACTGTAATTTATTTTTAGGATTCTCCTAAAAACTGCTCAATCAAATTTCCAAACAATATATAATGAATATAATAATTTATTAAAAGAAATGGAGTCTATTAATACTGCAAATAAACTTAATGAAGATGTTCATCAAAAAGAAATTGAGAAAATGGTAAATTGGTTAAAATTAATTATTTTAATTGAAATTTATGCATAAGTTTATAAGTAGATCAATTCTATTTTGCATAAATTTTCAGAATGCTGACATGTTGAAAAAAGACGAACTTCTTCAATTGAAAAGTGATGAAATACTTAAAAAGCAAGAAGAAATAGATAACTTAAAGAAGGATCAACCTGAAATTGATGTTTTAAAACAACAGGTTTATTCAGAGAATATTTTTAAACTGATTATGGGAAGATTTTTTGTTAATTGAAAGGTTTTAATCTATTTATGTTTGATTTTAGTTGGATATTTACAAAGAAGACTTTGAAACTGAAAGAAAAGCTAGAGCAACATTGGCTGGAGAAAAAGACAATGCTGTTTCTGACTTACGTAAGCTTCAGCAACGTAATGAAGAACTTCTACAGCGCTTGAAAAATATAGCAGAGCAAAATAAGTTAATGTTCAATCTGATATTTTTGTGTTGTAACATTTCTTTGTTCTTTTTTTGAGAGTGGTAATATTTTTCAGATCAACTGCTGCACCTACTGCACCTCCAAATGACAATTCTTCTTCCTCCACACAGGTGAGATAGCTTACAATAGCTTTAAATAAAATTTTAATGTTTTACAATTAACATGTTATGCACATATGTATTGTATCCTTTATGAAAATGAAAATTATTCTGGAAATTGCTCATTGTCACAAAACTAATTTAACATTTTTTTCATTTATGGGTGTTCACACATGCTCACAATTTTTCATTAATAATTATTGATTTATAGTTTAAATTTGAATTTTGTTTGATTATATTATGGGAGATAGTATAATGCAAATAACGCCTTGCTGAATAAAAGCCATCTAGAATAAAAGCACTTAAAACACTGAAATCAATCTGTATCTAATACCATCGTGAATTACATGATTAAAATAAGTGTTCATTTTCAATCTTGACTAGCATGAAAAACCACAGAAGCATGCTGAATTAGTTAAACATTTTTGTGAATGTTGTTTCATCTCATTTTATTTTATTTAACATTTATGTTTCTATACAAAATATTTTATTTTCAAACACAGGACAATAAAACTATGTCACCGTCAAACTCTAGTTCTTATAGTTGTCCAATGTGCTTCAATCAGTTTAAAAATTATCACACCCTCCAGAGACATGTAGAAGACTGCGGGGAAGTAGTTTGAACTATAACGAAGTAGGTTCAAATTATTTTAATATACATATGTGCTTGACATGTTTAATAACAGAGTGTAAACTTTATAACTTATCTAGGAATTAGGAATGATAATTTTCTATTGCAAAAGTTAATTATTTTTACATACTTAATATTTATTAATCATTTTTTCATGTTATTTTTGTTAGTTTCAGATGGTTTATCCATGCCCTATATGCCAGTTTGCGTTTTACACAATTCAGGCACTTGAGAATCATGTTGAACGTTGTCTCAATGCTCAAGTGTGAATGTAATCTTAAATCAGCTAACATCAAAATTATCATTTAGTATTAGAGGTAATTAAGAAATATTATATATTTTTATCTTTGTTTTTATATGAATTTGTCAAATGCTGCACTGTTTTATCTAATTCTTTATATTCTTGACTTTTATTCTTTCGTATAAATTATTTGATGGCTGGAAATAATTATGAGAGTAATATTGCTTTTTTTTGAAAGTTGGAAAAGACTTTTTTGATAATTTGGTATGACAGACTTAATGAGAGTGTTTGTGTACTTTTAAAATCAATAATACATATATTTAATTAATCTACAATATGCAGCATATAAAATATCTTTATAAATATATAAATACAGAAAATTGCATAATTGCAATTACCACTTAGAACACATGCATTGAAAATCTAGTTATGTAACATAAAATGATTTCATGTATGTGAGATATTTCTGTAGATAAATTATATTAAATATATTATAATTGATTATATATATATTCTTGTTCCTTTTTTCTTTTTCACTGTCTATAATCTGTTCCTTCAGTATGATTTTACACGTATCTTCAAAAGCTGTTTTTCAAATTTCATGTATTTAATGATATTTTAGGGTTTTTCATTAAGAAGGAAAATTACTACTTACTTTAAGAGGGAAATTTACTTTTCTTTCGTTTTTCAAAATTCAATTTCATGCAGAGAAATTGGCCTTGGTTTTGAAGAGAATAAGAACAATAGAGTAATGATGTTTTGTTATTTGTGATTGATCATATTTTTTTTATTTTAAAGACAATTCAATTTTTAATCCGTCTGAGAAAATTTTAAACACGAGGAATGTCTTAAAACAAATGTATTGTGTAACTATCACTATAAAACAAACTGAAATTCAAGGAAGGACCTAAATCTAACTACCTTGGTAGGAAGGGATTGAATCAAGCCGTATCAGTAGGCGATTTGGAGGCAGTTGTAATTCTTTAAGGCTCGAATGAAAGAAGATCATACTTTTTCTATCTATTTTTGAAATTGGAAGGATGGCAAAAACTTTGTAGATAGATATCTTTGAATATTACATAAAAATAAAACGGCAAAAGCTTTTAAAAAATGGATATATATCTTTGAATATTTATAATATTTATAAAATTTATAAAAAATTTGAAGTATATATCCATGAATTTTTAAATATATATAATACCACAACATAGTAATTTGAGTGATTTAATCCCGTCCATTATTCTAAATTTAAATGAATTAAGCCACTTTTAGACGGCCTATAATTTTTTAGGATTATTGTTAAGATCACCAGACAAAGTTTCATCAATCATGTATTTTTTTTAACAATTAAGTGAAAAATGGCTTAATTAACTTCCCTTAGAGTAAGTTATAGTAATCGCAAAAAAATCGAAAATAAATTTTTTTTATATATATTTACGTTTCAAAGGTTTCTGAACATTTTGGCATACCTTAGAAAAAATTGATGTATGTGTGTGTGTGTGTATGAGTGTGCGGATACAAATTTTCGTCGACGATTTTGGGAACACCGATCAACCGATTTGAATAATTCAAAAAACATTCGATTCGTGTTGATATGGAGACGTGCTGATTAGTTTTTGTGGGAGGCAGATCTAGCCGTTCCGAAGATACGGGGCAAAAAGTGCCAAAAACGGTAACTCGGTTCTTAAGAGAACGGTTTGTCCGATTTTAATAATTTAAAAAGCATTTTAATTGTATTGAGAAGATGAAGAAGTCCAGCGGCTACGGACTCTCAATAAAAATAAGTTAAAAAAATGCCATTTGGCAGTCAAAAATGGTTATTGGACATATGTACATCAAATTATTAGATATTTCATAGATTTTAATAATGTGTACACATTTTGTGTAAATTTGTTTGGATTCCGTACCAAGATTTTTAATTACGGTACGGGAAGTTCCAGCAATTTGCTCTAAGGCACGATGCCATGCACCCCACTAGTTTTTTTTTAATTAAGGAAAAAATGGTTAATGATTTTTGGCTAAAGCGGCGGCGTACCTTTTGCACTTTTTTGTCAATTATAAAGAAACGGCTCAGCCAATCGCCTTTATTATTTCTCCAGTTGGTAACAGCACTAAACCGAGTAAATTTTTACGTTATTTAAGATATTTTAAATAGTTTGTTTCAAATAAAACATCAGTACATGCTCTACCATCCATTGTTGTATATATTTCCAGTATTTAATAGTAATACATAACTTTCTGATCAATACAAATATTTTCGTCTATTTGTAAACTTTATACAAAATACTGATTAAGTGGAATGCTAATAATAAATAATATTACAAAAACCTTATGCAAATAAATATAATAAAATAACGTTTTTATAATAAATCGTAATTCTGTGCATTTAAAATAGATGAGATAGTACAGTGGCGAAATTTTCATTTACAATTATCTTACATGATTGCCTTTTAAAATACAAAATTTTCGTTTGGAAGATATTTTAACATCTGACAAATAATAATGAATAAAATTACATTTTTGCATCTTTATTTAAAAAAAAACCTGAATTTTGTGAAATATATAGACTAGTTGTATTGCCTACGATAGGCATTACTGGCTTAGTAGCATTGTGATAGGAGAGAGAACCGTTTTGTTAGTTTAATATGAAGATTTACATAAATTTATTTAATATTTTATGATAATATATTCTCTATCTAAATAAATATTATTAAAACTAATCTAAAAGATTAATAAAAAATATAATACAACATATTTACACAATACGCGGAGTGGACTTACTGATCATAAAAGATTCAAAATGTGAATAATAATATAATCGAATACTGCATAAAATTTAGAAAAAAATATTTTTTATTAAAATCATAAATCAATAAATATAATTTGTAATTAATCACTAAAAAATGTTATATAAAAATAATAATTTACTGATTATTTTCTTCTTAGTAAATGCACGGAAAATTTCTTATGCTTATAAATAGTTCTCATTAAATACTTGATAATAAATAATTTATAGCGAAGTGAATTGTTCAAATCATGATTAAATGAATGAATTTATTTTAAATGATGTTAATAAATGACCACAATTAAATTTGTTACTGTGGCATTAGTTTTAAAATAATATAAATAGATACTTTAATTTAAATTTTTTAAATATACATATGTTTTGTAAATTAGTGGTTATAGGTATATTTTTATGCATATTTTAGCGTTGATTTTATCAAAAATATTATATAATTTACCAGGTCAATTATGTTGAAACTTTATAGAAGCTTTTGCACTAATATGATTTAATTAACTATTAATTTTAGTTAATATGATAAATATATAGATATAACCACAAAGCGACTAGAATTTTGAATGCAAATTACAACGATACAAAACGGCAGCATGGCACTATAAATATCTCATTTAAATTTAAAATAATCGAAAGATACATTATATAACTTAGTAAATTATTAAACAAATTGAACTTAGTTGACAGCATGAATTGAACTATTAAGACGATAACAAATATTCCTCGACGACTATACAAGTTTGCACTATTCTATAAAGTTAAATTGAAATTTAAAAAAAAGACTTGGTCCGATTTTTGTGTATTTTAATAGTGACATGTCCGTGAGTATTTTTAGTTGTTGCATTTGAATATCTTTTTCTTAAACTTATTTTTTCTTCCCAACGTATTGCACCATTTTTGAAAATCTTTCGTCTTCCTCCGTCAGCATCAAAGCTTCCAGGCATCCTTTGAAAAAGCCACTCCCGAAACAGTTCGATCTAATTAATAAAAATACAATTAATATATAATAGACAATATAATTTCCTTGAAAAAGGTCCTGATAAAAATTTCTTGAAGGCATCTTTTAAAAATCTTACTGCAAACCATATATTTTTGTAGTCTGACACACAATAAATAATTCAAATGATTTTATTTTTAACGTTATGGAAATAATTTTATTAACTCTAGTCATTTTCTTTTTCAGATACTTTGAAGATTAGAATTGAAGAGATGCTGGTACTAATATAACTTAACCAGTTAACTGTGGTGCGCACACTTTTGTGTCGTCGCAAAAAATCGAGGAAAATTTTGTTTTGAGGTAAGCCACATACAACTATTCAACTTCCCGTAGAATTTTTTTTTTGAAAATGAAAATTTTTGCATTTTCCACATTTTGAAGGTTTCTGAACATTTTGGCATACCTCAGAAAAAATCGATGTGTGTGTGTTTATGTATGTATGGATACAATTTTTTATCCACGTTTTCGGGCGCACGGATTAACCGATTTGAATGGTTCAAAAAACATTCGATTCCTATTGATAGGGAAATGTGCTGATTAGCTTTCGGCAAAGGCAGGTCCAGCCGTTACGGAGATACGGAGCAAAGAGTGCAGAAAATAGAAATCGAGTTTTTGAGAGAACGAGCATCTGATTTGAATGATCTAAAATACATTCGATTTGTAATGATTGGGAGAAGTGGTGATTAGTTTTTGGCAAATGCAGGTCTAGTCATTTAGAAGATACAGAGTTAAATGTATAAAAAATGGCAGTTTTTGAGAGAAATAATCATCCGATTTGAATGATTCGAAGAACTTTCTGCTTGTGTTGATGAAATAATTACTTTTGGAAAAAAAATTCGTTTTAAAATTTTTTTTTTGAATATTTGAATTTTAATTCTGGTTAAAGTTCTAAAGCTCACTGATAAACTTTAAGTAAATAATTTTAAATTTTGTAATTCAGTTTATATAATTCTTATAAATATTAGACGATATTACATAATTCAAAATAATCTGTTTGAAAACATTTAATATTCCTCGAACATTTCGTTACGGTACGGGAAGTTCCAGCAATTTGCCTTAAAGCACGATGCCATACACCACTAGTTATTTCATAAATGTTGTAAATTTATTAAAATTTGAGTATATGATCAAAACAAATGCCATCCGAATAGACAATAGCCAAGTAGGTTTTAATTTTAAATAGGCCAATTGGCCAAAATGGACAATAGATTTATGCGTATTGTCATTATACAAAATTCTGCTACTTTTCCATGACGAGTATACTCGTCTATATGCAAAAATCTGGCACTTCTTCATGACGAGTTTATATGTCGATCTCAGTAGAAAATTGGTTGAATTTCAAGCTTAAGAGAAATAATTTTTGGGGAATTAAAAAACAAAGAACAAATTTTGAAAATCTAGCATTATGATCAGACTACATAGTTCTGAAAATATTTTTTATATTGATTTGTTATTTGAAGTTTCAGAGTTTTAAAAAATGCCTTAAATTTTTGAACTTTTTTTCTAAAAACTACATGCAAAAATAGGTAAAAAAGTGCAATCT